ATGAACAATCAATTGACATAGCGCAAAAGACCAAATAACCTAGTCCAGCACATAAGAAAAAAGAAGGAAAAAGGGCAAAATCGTCGTTACACTGTACTTTGAACAGTAAATTGAGCCTAGATGAACAGTGATCATGCCCTCTCCTTTAGTATATTTATAATATAATAGGAACATAATTCTTCAAAACACTTAACCATTTTTTATACTTATTTTTATACATGGCCTTTTTCAAATGCTTAAGCCTAACTTCTATCTCATGATGTGAATGAGCTTCAATTATGGACCCAAATCACTCTTAGAGAATTCTTATGGGTAGTAATTTAGTGGGCCATGAGTAATAAATGTGCATTCATCTTTGCAAAAAAGTATTTTTGATCCCACTTAAGGTTTCAAATTAATGGGATCAAATATGGATGAATGATGGATAGATAAGCCCAAGAACCTTTTCTCTTTATCTCCCAGAGTTCGAAAACTAAAAATCCAAGTTCTAGAGCCCTCTCATTAGCTATGATGAGTGAGTTTTACTCATGAATTAAGTTTTTTTAAGCTTGATATTTAGTTGGTTCTCGAGAGTTTTGTGAATTTTATGTGTTTTTGTGTTTTGGTTACAGAATTAGATGAATATGTAGCTATTTAAAGATTTGGAATATTCAGAGTTGATTTGGATTTAATTCGGATGTCGGACAAATTTTTAAACCCGTTTGGAAGGATTTTCCAGCGCTTAGGCGCTGTCGTTGAGTGTTGCAGCGCTCAAAGGAGCGAATCAGGTCGTTTTGGACAGATTGGGCAGCGCTTAGGTATCCATTAATAGCGACAAAACTCTACTGAAGCCAAAAAAATCTGCCGCTAAAGCTAGGCGCTCTAATACGGCGTTACACCGTTACGACGCGGAAAGACCCGCACTTTTTAGCCGAAACATGTGAAAATTTACCCGTTTTAGCCCCATTGCCTCAAAGCTTATAAATAGGCATTCTTTGGGCAAATTAAGGGACTTTTTGCTTCAGACCCTTGAGAGAAATTGAAGGAGAAAGAAGAAGAGAATTCCGATACAGAGATGAAGACGATGAATTCCAAAAATGGACAAGCTTGAATCACTTACAAATCAGTTTTTCTTTCTCTCTTTCATCATATTTAAGGATTTCATTTTGTTTTTATCTATTTTTATGATGTTCTAATTTTATTTTATCTAGAGGAGAGATATAGCCGACGCTTGATACAATGTTTTGAATTTTAATTTATATTTTGAGGTTTTCATGGTTTTTTTGTGTTTTTTGTTCTTAATACTTTCAATTGACTGGACATTGATTGAATGGTTTGCAATTTAGAATTCAGCACTTGAGAGAGGGAATTTTAGATGCGATCTAAAAATAACACACTTAGAATTTTATAGAGTTCAAGAGGCCAATAATTTCTTTGAGGTCTATTTAATAAGAACCATAAAGCGTAATTAATTCTTGTTGTCTTGATTTTGAATAGAGATATTAAAATCGGATTCTAGGAATAATTCACCCGGCATGCAAGAGAGGGAGAAGAAATACAATCGGGTTCTTGGCTTATAAACTAGGAAAAATTAATTAGTAGTGAATTGATATTGAAAAGACAGAGTTGACTGCTGGGAGAAATCAAACGTTTAGAGCTTTACTTATATTGATTTCTTCTTCAATTACTATCTAGAGTTTGTTTTAATTTATTGTTCTTTTATTTTTATTTAATTCTCGTATTATATTTGATTCGATTTTCTAAATAAAATTAAGATTATTTTAATTACAGTACTTAGTAAAAAATTGATTGCAATCCCTATGGAGATGATAACCTATCTCATTATTTTACAATTAAAACTTGATACCATGCGCTTGTTGTAGATTTTCACGAACAAGCTACAAGACAAAATTTTCAAAGAGTCGAAGGAGGTCAAAAGCATGAACAAGATTGCCTTTAGTAGCCTTTTGCACTGGCTTCAGAGCCGAGATATCCTTGCGATAAATAGGCCAATAACCTGGATAAAGGAAACATGAGAATCAATTAGTACCAACACTTGACTTAAGAACCTTATAAGGAGAGAGGTCTTGGGTTCAAGTGTTGGGGGACGCAAAGAAATCTCTCAAGGCCGCTAAGTGTCCAGAGAGGACAGTACGTATAAGTAACGGTATAAGATCCGATATGCCAGGGTCCCGGAAAGGCGACCCCATAAGAGTTGAGGCGTTACAAAAAAACGTACGACTTGTGCCTCGAAAGCTTATTCGGGTTGAGCTTGGCCTGAACACTTTCTAATTTTTTAAAATACTCTATATAATATTTGGGTTAAGCTATGTCACCCCTCTCTTGACTCTAGCCGAACTCTGCCTAAACTTGCACCTCTAAACCTACCCATAATAACCATATATTTTATTCTAGAGTTGTAAGTTTGGGCCGGGCTAAATGAGCTGGTCTGAGACCCACCACAATTGGCCTGGCCCTAAATTTTTTGGACTTAGGGCCGGACTGGGCTAACCATCTCTTCTTTAGGGCTGGGCTGGCTCTGCCCAAACATCATATTTTTAAAGAGAATTTTAAAACTACGTTATAAAATTTAGGGCTAGGTCGGGCCTAAATTTTTTAGTAGGGCTGGCAATCTGGGTAGCGACACGACTCGAAACATGCACGAAGTTAGTGGGTTTAGCTTTATCATAAATAGGTTTGGGTCAAAATATGGTCGAACCCGTGAAACACGATTAAATAGCATGTCATTTTCAGGTTGGCCCCCAACCCGTAATTGACTTGTCATAACCTGTTTATTAAACGTGTCATATTTAGGTAACACGAATACACAGCACAATTACAACTCGTTTGTTACCTATGTTAAGAAATATGTTGAAAAACAGGTTGAGAAATAGGTTGACACGACCTTATTATCACTTATTTTATAAACGGGTTATTAGAAACAGGTTGACATGACACTATTATGACTTTTTTATAAACGGGTTAGTCGTGTCGTGTCACCCCCTAGACCGAAATTTCTTTTTAGGCCGCTAGGCCCGGCCCTGTCTAAACTTTTTAGGCTTAGGGTCAGGCTGGACCGACCCTCTCTCTTTTAGAATTGAACCGGCCTAACCTAAAATTTTCCTTTGGGCCCAAGACCGGTCCGGACGGCTTGAATTTACACCTCTGTTTTATTCTCACACGGAATTTCTCAATTATAAAAAGTGGAAAACTAATTTTTTATTATGTTTAAAAAAAAAACGTTTTTTTGGGGGTGCCATATCACAAGTTTGGGCCTTGCATTTTATATCCTTTATAAATTTGAGCTGAAATAAAAACTCAATCTTTTTACCGGTATAGCCATGGCCTTGACCCTCCTACTACCATCAAACAACTTGTTGCAGGTAACCCTACATGTCCACCCATATCTCGTCACTTCCATCACCTTAAAGACATTTTAATTATAATTTATGTGACATTTATTTATTTGGGCTGGATTTCTCCTTTTGAAATTGATTATTTATTTCTTCTACCAAAAAGAAAATGATTTTATAATTCTTTCTACTACCTTTTTTTTCTCTTTTATCTATATTATACATAAATGGTGGTTATAAAATATTTTATAAAATATGGACAAAAGTAAAATCCAATAATGCTCATGTCTTCTTCATGCTCTCTCAGTTTCCCTTTTTCTTTTTCTTTTGAGTTTTTTTTTTAATTTGTTTTATTCCTCACATTCTAATTCTTTGAAATTCAAAACTCAAAATCCTAATTTTCTTTTCTTCCTAAATTGACACAGTAATGTGAAGCCATTGTTTTTCAGAAATCTTATCAAAAGACTGCTACATAAGCCTAAAATAAAAGCTATTTTAGGGATAATAAATAAGGAATAAGACAGTGAATCCTTTTCTATTAAAAAGAAAGAAAAGAAAAGAATGGGGAATAAGACAGACACAAAATGAAACAAAAAATAGTTTGGCAGGTGGCACCATATTTATTTACATTAATAACATTTTCAAAATACTATCAAATATGGCATGAAATCACTAGAGAGAAAATAAGATTAAAGATTTAATAAGAATCCTAACCCTAACAGGATTCTCACAGAACAAAACTTAGAAGAAAGGAAAAAGAAAAAGACGCAGTAAAGTGAAATGATATGGCAAAAATAAAAAAGAATAATAAGCATCATGGGTGATTAGAAAAGAAGCGAAAGAAGACAATATTCTTTATTTTTTTAGAATAGGTTTAATGGTAGTATGAATTTTAAATTTAATTTAAATTAAATTAAATTAAAAAAATGTAGAGTAAATAAATAATTTTTAATTGACACTAAAAAATAAAAAATTAGGAATTGTCTCTAGTCAGGCACTTAGAAAGTGCATGACCGGAACGACAGTTGTATAATTTTACATAAATTGTGTATATTTACATATAAAATCGTATATATTTACATATAAAGTCGTATATATTTAACATGAAATACAACAAATCAATCAATATACATATTTTCATACTATGTGTTCACTAATTGTTATAAAAAATACATGTTTTGAGGATTAATATACATTATCATTTCTTATAACTTAACATATATATCTTTAAGCCAATATACATATTTGCATACTATGTGTTCACCAATTGTTATAAAAAATACATATTTTAAGAATTAATATACATTATCGTTCTTATAACTTAACATATATATTTTTATATGTAAATATAAACGACTTTATATATAAATATATACAACTTTATATATAAATATACATAAATTATATATAATCATATAACTACTATTCTGGTAAGATACTTTCTAAATGTCTAACTAGAAACCTTACCTAAAAAAATTATAAGTAGTTTATTTATACAGTGTTTAAAAAAACTCTTTTTTTTTTTTTTGTGGAAGCAATAATCGTTTCTCTCTCTTTTTTGATACACAAAAATTTTCAGCGTAATATCTTTTATTTGTTTTTTTTTTTTTTTTTTTTTGGGCTCTTTAAAA